AATACGGCTTCGGTACAGTGCTGTGCTTGGGTTAATTAGCTGTGCTTAAAGGGGGCTAATCAGCAAGGGCATATTGCCAGCCTAATGTGATTATAATATATCCAGGACCTCAGCTAGGTTCTCTGCACCGAATTCCCTGTACACCTTCATTTGGAGGCAGTTCCAAACGCCAAACCGTACAGTAACACGACTTATAAACACGGGAGCAGCCATGAAGGGTCAGGCTGAGGGGTCCTCTCACCTGGTGGTGTGACTGACAGTTTTAGGTGCTTTGAGGAAGAGGAGAAAGAATAAAAGAGGCACACAGCAGTCCAGCTCCTGGCCATACCCTCCTAGCTTTTCTGACAAAAAGCAGATTAGGGATATCCACTGCCAGGGGTTGTATCTCCATCTTAGCATTCAATAACACCTGAAAGATTTTCCTTATGTGAATTTATCTAAATATTCTGAGGCTAATCAAACGTTGGGCCTCCACAGCACCCTGTAGAAGTGAGTTCCACAGTTTAATTACATACTATTAAAAAAGAATCAGTCCTTAAACCTGTTGCCTAATAAGACTCTATACTGCTGGTCTTCAAGGACTGACTAAGCCCAGAAGACAGATCTCTGCTCTCATTGCAGCAGGCAGGCACAACGGCAGTGTCTCACTTTTCCTCTAACAAATACAGGCCTCGCCTCTGCTACAGAGATGGCACGCTCCAGTTGTTATGCTTCAGCCTCTACAACTACTAAATTTTCCCCAATTACTCTTTGTTGAATTCAATGTTGAATTCAGGATGACGACAGAAGGGCTGAAATGTTGATAATTAAGACAGTAAAGTGTTTTTTTGCTTGGATAGCCAGACCATGAGATAAAACTGTGGCAAGTAGAACTGTGCTGATGGTTGAGCAGGGCTGAGAGGTGATGCCATTAGTGCTTCTGTAGGATTTAGAAAGTGATTCTCTCTTTAGTGTAACCTGCTTGCCTGCTTGCAACTGTGCTGCAGCAGGCGCTTCTTCAGAAGAATGACAAGTGAATATCCAAGTATCTACCCAGTTTTAAGATATATTTTAAGAACAAGAGGCATTGGATAGTTGAGGGTTTATTGGATAGTTCAGAGAGTGATGGTTTGGGGGGGAGGAGGAGCAGGGGATTGAATGTGGAGAGCAGAGGGCTCGAGGGAATGCCAGTGTAGCAGACAGATCCTGAGGAGAGATGAGGCTCTGGGAAGAGAGATTACAGCTTTGCTGGGCTCTGCAATGCTGACAGCAGCAATTCCTATCTCTCATCAGTCATTCCTCCATATGTACCTGAGAAGATAACACGGGAGAGCCAAGCCTCTCTGCAGGATGCCCATCACTGCTGGCATCCTGCTGGGATGGCAGAGTGAAGCCCGGAGTCTCTCTCTGCTTTGTTCCAAGGAGCATGGCTGCAGTAAGCAGCATAATCACCGCTCCCGAAAGCCTCAAGGTTGCAGAGTCTGCTGGGGAGGATGGGGGTGGGTGTGTGGTGACTTGACATAAATATTAATCCAGCTGAGCTTTAGGATTAGAGAAAGAAATCAATAGAGGAACCTGCAAAAAGCATGAAAATAACTGGCATATCAGTCTAGCTTATTCAACTCCTGGGCAGGAAACACTCTTCCTCTCTTGTGAGCCACAGTTCCTGCGAGTTGTGGGGTAATTTCAGAGTCATTGATGAACTTTCATGTTAAGGCTTGAGCTGATCCAAGAATAGCTGAAAAGGGCCTTGCACCTCTGCTCTTGCTCATGGACCTCCTCCACCATCACCCTACACCAGCTCTGACACTCACTGGACTCTACAATAAGCTAATTCAACCCACTAATCTGGCAGAAAACTAACCCAGAAGAAAGAAATCAGCTCAGTAAAGGTCTGTGGAGTATGAGAGGTGGGGTACAAGGGTGAAATGGTTGAGAACAGTGGTAAGGAGCATTGGGTGAGAACAGGTATGTAAAGGCTTCCTCTCTTAGGTCAGAGCTGTCAGATCAAATCAGTTATAACACGTAGCTGCACAACATGACTTTGGGAAATTTTTCTGTCACCAGAACCCTTCAGGATGGGACCTGGTAGTAATATTTTCTCGCATGTAGGAAATAAGACATCAATCTCGGGTGCAAAGATATTTTGGAGTTAGACACCAGACTGAGGTTAAGAGGTAAGAGTCAGCCCCTGATCCTGCCACTGTCTTTCTGTGACCATGGACAAGTAATTTAGGGCGTAAGACACTCCGCAACGCAAGATGGGACAGACAGGTCCCTTCTAACTATGCCTCTGGGACTGGAAATAAAACAGTCACTTCAGAGTGCCAGATCTAAAGAGCTATTCTGATTCAGAGCTTTTTAAGGGAGGCACAGAGCCAGACTTAAATGATGGCTGAGCCACTTCCAGTGCCTGAGCCGGTGTGAGTGCTCCATGCCACATGGGACTCTCCGCTTGTACTTGGAAACCTCAGCACCACACTTGTCTTGGAGGGTGCAACTTCCCTCTCCAAATTCTCCATGCTTCCTACCACCCCATCAATCCTATACAGCTTCCCTGCCTTACAGAAACTAGCATAGCGTGAAGTCAGATGCTACAGAAAAAGATTTAGACAGGACAGGGATTGAGTGTCCAAATGTTCAACGAAGCCAACCCAGAGTGAGATGAGACTCCTACTGAAGCCAACATACAGCACGTCTTGGCTTTTACTCCTCTTCTCAAAAGCCCTGTTTGTACCAGGGAAGAACAAGGTGGTTTGGCAAAGATCTAAACAATCTGAAACTTCACTACAAACTCACTCCCAAACCTTGTCCTTAAGTTTACACAAAGCAAAGCCTGTCAGTACAGTTAGTCTGTAACCTTCTGTCCTGTTACTATGGTATTTCTGCTGTTCCTCTCCCTCCTCGCTGTCTCTCCTTTCTTCAGCTACTCCCAAAACAGCTGCTAAAGTCTCTGTAGCCTGAGCCTCTGCTGAGGGCAGAGCCCTGATTGTAGCCCAAAGGTGTACTCAGCAGAAGTCTCTAAACTGCTGCCTGCTTCTACCAATCGACCTGCAAACTTGTTGAGATTCTTTGCTCATAATATGCTTCAACAGACACTGTCCCATGAGGACTGAACTAAATTGAGTTGCAGGGCTGCAAATCACAAAGCAGCCTCATTTTAATCATGGCTATTCGAGTGCTAAGGAATGCAGAAAGTAAATACATATTTGTTTTAAAACCATCATTTGTCCCATCTGCAAGAGGAAAATGAACGTACTCAATCCCTGAGGCTTTATTTCTAGAATACTTTGGGAAATGAACCTGCTATAAGCATTACACAAGAAATACACCCTTTGTTAAATCCTTTACCCACTGCTTTTGTTACAAACCTTTTCTCCTGGATCTATTAACCCTCTCATTCACATCTCCATATTCTAATAGGGCTTTAATGCTTCACACTGCTTCTGCCACCCCTGCCGCAGTCCCTGATGGCTTACTGGTGACTGATTTCCCTGAGCACTGACTGGAATCCAACTTCCAGGGTCAAGTTCTGCCTCTGTCTTCAGACGTGGCTGGAGAAAAAAATCGTAGCATCCAGTCCCGCAAGCGTAAACTTGGCTGTGGCTAGGTTAACCAGGTGGTTGGATGTGCAAATCAGTCCTCAACTTCTATGCTACTTCAAATATATTTTAATGAATACTCTGCATACACAGATTTGATCAGCTTGCATTCCTTGTGCTGCAGTGTCCTTCTCTTTGGCATGCCTTTCTCTCAATTAGAATTAAGTCCAGCTAATCTGTAACACACTGGTAAAGTTCTACGCAAAACTCAGTGCTCTAGTTGCATCCCAACCCTCCACATTTCTTCTCCTGGGCTTTTTCCCTCTTTTAGCTCTAGCTGTGGTTTGAGATCTTCCCTATCCTCAAAGCATGATTCAGCCTCTGGTCTTCTTTGCTTTCTCTCTCTGCCCTACTCTCTTTCCGTGACCAGCATGGTAATCCCTGTCTCAAACCTGTTCCTAGGACACCTAACAAATCCTTTCTCCCACCTCCTCCTTGAACTTAAAATTCAGTTAGCCTGGGCATGCTAGTCATAGTTTACTCACATTCAAGTGAGTAAACAGCTACCCTTTCACCTAATCTAACTGCACCTAGCAGGCTCAGAATAGGGCTAGCAACTAATTCTTCCTCCTCTTAATCTTCAGATCAGACATAGCCATAAGAGCCTGACCATAACACCTCCTTGCCTATGGCATCCTCAGCCCTACTAATTGAGGACAGTTGCTTTTGGTGACGCCTGAAAGTAACCTCCTGTCTTTGTGGTGAAGTCTCTTCCCCACCTCTGAGCCACCCAGGCCCTTAGTTGTACACAGTCACGCTCCAATTAGTTCTCCTGTTTTGTGGAGATACAGGTCTACTGGTTCAACCAGAGTTGAAGGCAGAAGTTCTGCCTGTCTATGTCCTAGAGGGAAAAGTATCAGTACACCAGCAACCTCTTTGCTTTAGATAACAAAAAGTCATTGTGCAGACAGCAACATACTGAAGGCACAGAATGAGGGAAGGAATCGATGCAGTTCCATGAGTTACCCTTCATCGGCTGAATCACCACCACCAGTTACAGCCGCTGCAGTGGTAACCTGATCAGTGGTGACATTTCTGTCCGTGCCCTACATTATGCAATTCAACTACTGTGCAATTAATTCGATAGCTACCTGGGGAGCCTGTTCGGAGCTCCCGAGCTTTGATCTGTGCTTCGGGGTTTGTTACATAGCTTCAGTCATGAGCACTGAAGTGAATAATCTGGATACCCTTAAGGAAAGTACTTGCTAAACAAAAGCTGCACATTCTGGAACATTCACATCATTTGGCTGCAAGCCAAACAGGTGAAACTACCACAGTCTGAATTACCAATAAACTGTTGTGGTAACAAAGATACTGCACCTTTGGTCTCTCACATGGGTCACTGACACCCCTGGCTTCTTCCAGACAGTGCGTAACCCACCCCTGGGTCACATAAGGGTTGCAAAGCCCAGTCCTTACCTTTTCCTGGTACTGACGCCGTGAGGAGTCCAGAGACTGGATTAGGGCTGTGGCATGGCCGATGAACATGGCATAGCAGGTGGCACCGACAATCATGCTCAGCATAGTGAGCCACACATCTGACATGCCAACGGGCGCCTGCTGCCCGTAGCCAATGCAGAGCATGTGACTCATTGCCTTGAACAGCGCATAGGAATACTGCTTCCCCCAGGAGTCATTCTAAAGAGACAGATAGACAGACAAAGCTTTAGCAGTGGGACAAGACATTCTCCAAGATGAACACATTTCAGGAAAGGATACCTCACATCAGACCCAAAAGTCCATGCTTAAAGCACCTCTATACATTAAACAAGCAATTTAAGTCTTTGAAGGTTTGGAAGTGTTGGGCACACTCCACTTTAAAAAAAAAAAAAAAAAAAGAAAAAAAGCACACATTTACTCATCTGACGTTAACTGACTTTGGCCAGGGTTTTTACAGATTCCATGTACTCTTCCCAACAAAACTTTCCAGACAGTCTGACACACTGATAACCTGCGATAAACTGAGATGAGGCATTGGGATATTTCCAAAATGACCAATGTGTTGGAGAAGGAACTGAAGCAAAGGAGATTACTCCACTGGGAAATGGACTTTAACAGAGAACTGGTAAAAGACAGCCTGAGCAAGGTTGCTAGCAGTAAGATCTTAAAGTGGGAAAAATCACTCCCCAGCAGTTTAGGAAATGGTCAGGATCTCTGGTCATTACCTGCAGAGATAGGAAGGGCAGAAAATTAAGACAACAATGTCCAGACAGCTAGTTCTCAGTGTAAAACAGGGCCTTTTTCAGGGAGCTGAGAAAACTACAAATGGTCTGATTTGAGAGATACAATAAACCACTGTGAGAAGCCAGCTGATGCCAACTGCTTCTTTCGGACACCCTGTGCCTGCAACTAAAGCAAGAAGCACCTCAATAATTACATCATGGGATAGGGAGAAAAAACAGCAGAAGTTTAATGATTCTTCTGATTAGCCTGAGCTCACACAACAGCTCAAGGTACATTTACTATCCTGTGGGTATTATATGCTAGCAAGTCCTTGCCACAAAACCTTGTAAAGTAAATGCACTGTCATCACACACTGCTATTACAAGGTATGTGAAAAAAATACCTCTGTTACAGTGACAGTCATCGCAGCACAGAATCTGTACATTCATCAGTCTGCTTTCTGTTCCTGGGAAGGTGTTAACATTATGGATATAGCTGTGCAGATATATATACCATAGCAAATTAAAGGGTCATTGTACAGAAGGCTGGTTTGGGGCTTGTCAGATAGACGAGCAATACTTTTGTGAACTCCATTTGGAGAGATGCAGCAGCCTCAGCACCAGTGACCAGTAAGGCTAAGAGCCCTGGAGTTTACAGGACACCTCCTTGGAAGGATCTAATCACAATCAGGTGGAAGGCTGATGACCTCTCTGCAAACAGCTCTCTGAGCGTCGCTAATGTTGATGGAAATTTTTCGGTAAGCGTACAAGTAGTAAACAGAAACAAAGTGTACTGTTGCTGTTTGTGAGCTGTGGCAAAGAGCTGGAACCTCTGGAGAGTGTTAATGCTCGGTTAGGAGACAAGCACATGGACAAAGACAGGCGCTAGCGTTACCCTGGCCATATTCAGTTACATTATGCAAGGCAGGCCCTATTCACACTGCAACAAGAAGGGCAAAGCAACAGAAGTGACAGCGAAGCAGACACAGAAGAAGCAGCACATTCACAGCCCCAGAAGAGTGCTCCCTGCAGGCGTCAGCCTGTCTGGGCTCACCTTCCTAACAAAGCAGGAACCTGTTTGCCTCCTGCAATGGAAAAATCTACCCTGGAGTCAACAGAGACAATGTGGCCATTGGTGTCTGTTCCTGGCTATGCAGTTGGCTTGCCAATGTGTGAGGAGCCGCAGCCCAAGGGGGAGCCAACTCCAGATGAAGGCAAAGAGCGTTTGGACTCTGCTGCCTGTCCACGGCAGCAGGGGGGATGCGACCACGGGGGCTGCCTGAGGTGTAAGCACCAGAGTGAATCCGCTTGCTCCTTTCCCTCACCCAGGTTTATGCTGTGGCTTCTACAGTCCTAGCCAAAGAAGTGTGGGGGTCCATTTTTCCACCATTCAGGTTTTCTGTCACTTTGCAGACCCACTTCTGATCTGTGAAGGCATCAAGCATCTCACACACCTTACACAGGCATCTCTGCATCTTCACTGTTAACATTTCCAGGAGCCACACTCCCATTCCCTCAGCCTGGTAGTACTAGCAGTCATAAAGCCGTGGCCCCTGCACTTAGAGAATGGCAAATTGTCCTGGTTTTTATCTGGGCCAGAGCTGGGTTCCTTTCAGCAGCTAGAACAGCGCTGTATTTTGGATTTCAGCTGGGATTTGTTAGGACAGAAACACTGAGAACATCCCAATATTTGCATATGTGTCACTGGGAGTGAAGGACTTTGTGCTTTGTCAGTCTGCAAGCGCAAGATCTAAGGGGATGAGGAATATTTAAATGAATCAGCTCAGTTGGTATTTGGCTCTGCCAATGGGCTGTTCCATCTCTTGTCCCACAATGGGCAGGACATTCATGAGGGGCTCTTCCTCTCTTGCTCTCTCTGGCTTTCGCTCGGGCTCTTGCTCTTCCAGGACTGTGGTTTCAGTTCAGGATTGTTGCTCCTCCAGAATTGTTATCTGGGAACAGCCTGGGCTTGGTCGGCGGGTGGTGAGCAATTGCACTGTCTATCACTCATTTGCATATTTTATTACTATTATTATTATCATTATTATTTTAATATCATTATTATTTTAAGTTTTATTTTATTTCAGTGATTAAATTGTTCTTATCTCACCCTACGAGTCTCCTTACCCTTGCCCCAGTTCCTTCCTCTATCACCTGGGGGTGGGGAGTGAGTGAGTGGCTGGGTTTGGCTGCCAGCCCAGTGCCAGCCCAGTGAAATCACCACACAAATGCTGTAAACTTGATGGCTTTAGCCCATCTATTGTCCATCCTTCAGAAGGGAAGTCACCATCCTGAGACAACAAGCAGGAGCAGTCACTCTTGACCAACCTTTGCTTAAAACGGTGCATCCCTTGTAAAGATGGGCAGCACATTCCCGGTTTTACGGGGGCAGAGGCAGTAGTGCAGGTGTCCTGTCCCATCCCTTCCCTGTTCAATTAATTCCTTTCCCATGCAGGCACTTCTCGCTGCACATTGCAGAAATGCTGCTGCCTTCTGAGTTCAGCGTGGCAGTAGTTTAACAGGGCAGCACATTTCCACAACAGAATTGAGAGCAGTGAGAAAAGAAATGCCAAGCTGAAATCCCAAAGGGAATTTGGGGAAACAGAAGAAGAACAGCTGAGTTGGAATTTGATAGATCAGGAAACTGGCTGCCAGTGTCTTAAATGGCCACAAATGATCAGAGCTGAAGAGGAACATCCTGGGTATCAGGCAGGTTCAAGTTTTAAAAGCCATTCTTCCAGCAACGTGCTGCTCAGGAGTGTTGTTTACGAGGAAGCTTGCCAGTGTTTTGTAGGAATTAGTCATCCAAAACTAGAACATCCAACACCACTGAGCCCCCGTAGCCTGCAGAAACACTTCTGACTCCCTGGGAACTCTACACTTACAAGTCACAACCCCAATTCCCATCAGCAGCATGGCTCCCTGTGAGGACAGCCTGCTTGATGCCAGACTGAGGAGAATGCTGAGTAATGACAGACTGAGGGGCGAGAGCTGGAGGAAAACACAGAGTGTTTAAAAAAACTCCCGAGCAACGTCGTCTGTGGGGAGAAGAGATCAAGGACAGCTGAAAGAGAGGCACTTCCATGAAGGGGAAACCTTTCAAAGCAATTACCTTTAGGACACAACCTCTGAGCTCTTTGAGCATCTGTGAAGAGCACTGGATCCTCATGGCACACTCTGTGTGATGACTCTTTGCTTATAGGTCTCAGGATATCTTTATTTTTTAGGCCTGCTCTACACTCTTGTCTTCTGCAGAATAAGCAGGCAGGTCAAGAATGCAGTACTTTAAGCCAGACTAGTAGTAGTGGCTCCAAATATACTGTGGCCACAAGTTTGCTAGTATCACGGTGCCTTAGACTGATACAGCTTGCTTCTGTGACAGCCATACTCCTATACTCACCATACCACCGTGCCAGTCCCCGTGGTGAGAGGGTTGTACTTCAAATATACCGGAGTGGCTAAAATGGCCCATTAGGGTATGTAAATGAGGCCTTAAACTGCAGAAAGAAAATGACTTCTCGTTAACCGAATCTCAAAGCAAGCTAAAATGGAGCTCCAGATCTGTGCTTGAATACAGTCAAGAGGGATGTTATCTCAGACACATGCCAGGCACTAAGAGCATTTGCAAAAGGGAGTTAAAATGACTTTGAAGCCGCTTCTCAAACTATCTTGTTTTTAACATCCACACTGGCAGGACTATAAGGGTTTATCTGGGATTAGTGTCTGGACTGCAATGCCTCTGCTTAGATCCACCCTTGAAAACTTGGGAGACACGTTCCTGGAACTCTTCGAAGGCAGTGTTGAGTTCTGCAGTGTCTTACAGAAGCACCCAAAGAAACAGTAGGGTGTCTGATAGGATGTTCTGCATCTGATGTACATGTGAGTGTGCCTGGTTGAAACCCTGCTGGAGAGGACGAGAGAGAGAGAGAGAGAGAGAGAGAGAGAGAGAGAGAGAGAAAGAAGTAAAGACACAGAGAAGTACTGGCAAATTCTTAGGGTAGGGGCACAGTTCATGGGCACAATGCCATGCCTGACTTTACCCACTAACATTTCAGAGTACTAAGGAGCTGTCTGTAGTGAAAGGGTGTATTTCATTTTTGTGAACTCCCACATTTGTCTCAGCAGTGATCTTATCTCACCACAGAGCTGATATTCAGGGTTTGCTACTGCACACCACTTATGTCAAGCTATGAAATAAGGCCTCTGAGCATCACTGCCTTCCTCTGGACTAGTTGGGCTGGAAAAACAAACCTTCAGATCCAGTTCAAAGGAAGGGAATAGTGGGACAAGAAATGGAGATGATGGGTCAAACTTCACATCAGACAGAACCTGCCTGTTCTGGACTTATTTCCAAGGAGAGCTTTGCATGGCCTTCACAGAAGAGATCACGGAAGAGATCATAGTGATCTACAGAAGGTATTTTCTCAGGACTCTGAGAGCACCAGTCTTAATTGCCCCACTCAGCCTTGCCTGAGACCTCCACCCATGCACCCATTGTTCCTGGAGCTCCATTTCAGCACAGGCCTGGACACTTAGACCTTGCCTGAGCCAGCTGTACCTGTGCCCAGCCCTGGGCCCTGAACATACACTTTAGCCTTGTTTCCAGCCTTGCCTCTGGCCCCATCTCTTGCTGCTCCTAACTGGACTCCCCAGGCAGGCCCTGGACATGACTTTCATCCTGCCTTCACTGGAATGGTCAATGGACCCTGTTATCACCACTTCTGCTCTGCCCACCCTGTTTAGGTCAGGAAAGACTGTGCCCTAGTTGGCGAGGGCACTGCCTGTGCAGGGGTCACCTTGGCTCCTGGCTTATACCCTGTTGTGGACCAGCACTCCTCTTGCTGCTCCCTGACAGATTTTATAAAACATGAAGATCTACCACACAGCTTCACATGCCTGTGGAGTGAGGGTAGGAGGGATCTGCTGGACCAGAGGCTTGGGGGGAGTTAGGAATCACACAGGTGATCTGTGCAGGATTGCTCTGTCTTCCACAACACATGCTACGCCTATCTCCCTCCTTTCTATCAGCAACACTACAAGAAAGTGTTGTAGGGTGGGGAGCACTTAAACCAAGCTCAAAAGGAAAGCCACTCTCCTTCTTTTGGTAGGCAGGAAGATGATTAGTATTTCCTATGCAAGGCTGCTGCGTTTGACATGGGGATATTTGCCTTTCCTGCAGGGTTTATCAGTTCAGCACAATACCCAGGGGAGTGAGGCACGTGTTTCCAGCAGCTTTCAGGTCTCAGCGGAGCTCAGATTTCTCTGATGAGGAGCTGCCAGGCAAGGGTCTTGGGGAGATGCTGCTGCCCGCACACATGCCGCTCTGCAGCTGACTCACTAGCATTTCTCTTTTTAATAAAGTGCCCTGTTGGGAAGCTAATGCTGAAGCCCCTGAGATTGGGGCTGAGCAATTAATACTGCAAACATCCTTCCCTGCCATTTCAGAGCCACTTCAGAAAGAAGTCATACAGAGACTCACACCTTCTACAACTGTGAAAGATGAAACATGGTGCATGTAGAAAACATCAAGCTGAATTGGACCCAGGGATTTATCGAGCCCCTGATATGATTTTGGCAACACCAGACCCTTCACAGATCCCCTGGAAGAGGATCAAACCTTTAGGAAGCAGATGGGAGGTGATGAATCCTTCCCTACTGTGTCAGAATCAGAACTGGTTTTACAGACTGCCAAGTGGCTAGGTGTGAAACTCTGGAGTGGTGGAAGAGCAGCACCAGTATATTCAAGGAGAAAGTCTCCAAAGCATTTGGCATCTCACTTGCAGCTCCTCTTGGTTGTAGCAGCTTCAGAAAACTCCTTTTTTTCTGTAGTGGTTCCATCCCAGCTTTTTGGCTCCAGTGTGTAATCAGGGCAGTTGTGCACCAAGTGTATTTATCTCCTCAAAGCTGTGACCAGGTCAGTACAGAATGCCCCCAAATCCAACCTAACGACTCTCTGTCACAGACAGACACCATTCTGGCCTCCCATCTCCCAACCCGGTCCATCACAGCTCTCAAACAGAGCCATTCTAGAAACTACCATCAAGATCTTGGCATCAAAGTCTGAGAACAGCCCAGACCACTGGTTTCTTCTTGCTTCCTGACTCAGTGGCCTCTCCTATTACTTCTCTATAGACTATACATAAACTATTGCACTAATCATGCCATCCACATCCACCACTGGTCCCAGTGACACATTTGGAAATCTCAGGAGATTAGAGGACAGAACCTTATTGAGAAGAAACTATCTGATTCCAGAAGAACTAATTATTCTCTTTGTTAAATGTTCTAAACTCAAGCTATTTTAGGGCTGGCATATTCCTGTACAGCTTCTGGAGTGGAAGCCACCTGAACTATAGGTGGACCACATAACCATCTCACCAGTTCTTCATCCCAGTTTCCTGAGGCTTCATTTCTGAGAGAGTCACTGAGATAATAATTTCTTTTCACTTTTATTAAGTGGAAAAAGTGAAGGTGATTTAGCTGCAGAGGAGAAGTGGAAAAAAAATCACACAAGGCAAGTTTAATTCCCAGCTTCACAAGCTCTCAAGGCTGGGAAGACAAGTGCTGCAGCATGTGTCCTTGTCTGGTAAAACTCTGCTCTGAATAGAAACTTTCTACCCTGCCTCTCCTGGAGACTCTGCTGAGCCCTCCTGCCTGTGGGATGCATCCTGTCCCGCTCTCTTCAGTCTTGCTGCTAAGTCTGGCCCAGGTGACTCTCTTTCCAGATTATATAAAATTAATTTTGTATCCTTCTTCATCAGGCTCTGATCCCAGTCTGGTTGCAGCTCTTCGTTCCATTGGGTTACACAAGTGCTTTTCTGGTTTTACAGCCTCTGAGTGAAAAGTGACCAAGAGCTAGTTGGCATTAGCTTGTGCCATGCATTTGGGCAACCCACGCAGTGCAACGCCAGGTCTCTCAGGCTGTTTCAGATACCCACCATTACAGTATTTACTCATCCTCAGAAGCATCTGGGGAGGGAGAACTCTCTAAGCCTCTCATCTGACTTATCTGGGATCACACAGAACAGAGCTGGGAACCTAACCCAGGTGTCCCACTTTCAGTCAGTGCTCCAGCCACTGGATTATTCTTCCTTTCACCATGTGAAAAGGTGCTGCTGGCCTTTGAGTCAACTCTGCTACTCACACTTATAACTCTGCAACCCTAGTTTTTACCTCTTCCCCCTGGGTTGGATGGGAAAAGCAAATAAAAGTTGTTGCCATCAGACAGCAGCCTTCACCCCAACGTTAGGGTAAAGGAAACACGGTTCAAATCTGCTGCTCTGAAGCTGTCCTGCAAGAGCACCATGGCCAAATCACTTCATTGGATGAGGATGATTACTGTCTGCACCTCTGAGCTCTCCAGGATGAGGAACTGTATGTCCTTTTGAACCTGAATAGCATAAACACAATGGGGCCCTGATCGTTCATTGCCCCTGCCATATAAATAATAAAAAGGCAGCATGGGGGAAGATAAGGCAGCTGCTGCATGGGTTGTTCTTCTGCTGTAGATAAATAAAGGGTTCTAGTCTCCAGAACTGTCAGTCTGGCACCTTTCAACAGCAGGAAGTGAAATTATTATTGCAGAGGGAAGAAATGAATAAATAAACGCCAAACAGACGACTTTTTCGTGGATGCTCACTCTTCTCAGGCATGGGCAGCATGAGCCCACATGTGGGAGGCATGGAAAGTTGCCAGATCTTTTATACATTTTACATTTGTTCTGTTCTGCTTGAGTGCCTGATTTTTTTTTATTTTTTTTTTTTAAGAAGAAATTGGCTGGGGGAATCTGGAGGTTAAGAGCTACATTAAGAGGTAATTTTTTTAAGCTTTGTCAGTTTTTGCTGCTTAATCAACTGGACATTGTCCCTTTGAATAAAAGATTCTGAATTCTCAACGAGATGGTTGAAAGGTACCATGAACTCCCTGTGCATTTACCATATCGTGTAAATCTCCCTCACAGCAAGCAGCAGAGTGAGCAGCACAGCTTGGGACGTTATTGGGAAGTCTGGCTACTGTTCCCATGACGGGAAGCCGAACCGTGGCTTGGCAGAGTCTGTTTCAGCCCACTCTAATGGGATATTGTGCAGATCCCCAGGGAGAAGAGTGGGTGATCACACTGACCCTTCAAGTGGATATGAAGCAGAAGGCTTGAACAGTTTCCTTGGGTGCAGTAATGTGAACTATGGAATTGACCCAGCGATGGCTCTAGGACCCCTTCTGCCTCCTGCCTTTGGCTCAGTATGCCCAGATCCCAGCAGAAAACCGTTGCCATTCTTGCTCTTTGCTGTCTCTTGCCAGGAGGGGGAGCCTGGCTCCTGCCTTCTGCTGCAGGCAGCTGGCAACAGGTTCTGCTGGGGCTGGCTCCTGCTCTGCAGCCCTAACACTGTCTCCTTGCCTCCGTGGAGCCTCCATGCCCCCAGTGCCATGGCTTTACCAGTGCCTGCTGGATAGTGGAGGAAGGCTCTAAAAGGATATGGGGGCAAATGGGCAGCTGGGTGATGATGCCATGTTAGTCGATGATGAAATGGTGATGCTGTGATGGAGGGCCTGGGTTTAGGGCTGTGAGGGAGCAAGCAGGGCAGGCACTTACCACCATGCGGTTGAGGGACACCCAACAATCATCGGGAAAGTCTTGCAGCATTGGCACGAGGAACTGGAGGCAGCCATCCCAGTGACACAGCAGCAGCATCATCCCAATCAGGTTCACAATCCGCACCACTGCGCTGGCCAGATCGTAGGTCATGTGGAAGATCTGCAGGGGCCAACAGGGAGCAGATTAGATGGCAGCTCCTCAAACAACTAACCCAATATAATTAGATGCAGTATCAAGGTCAAGAACCTTGCTAAAGTAAGAGAAAAGGCTGCATCAGCTCAGTACAGGTCAGTCATCGTATGCAAGCAAAACCAGCTGAAAAACAGATTAAAAACCAAAATACAAAATCATAGTCATTTACCCCTCTTGCCCTTTGATTTTGCCTTCTAATTTACATTAAAAGCTCCGTAACTCATTTTATAAAATAAGTCAGTTGCAAATATTTCTGGAATGTCAGTGACTCCTCAGAAATAAACTCTATCATTACAGCTTTTTAACTGCAATGCCCTTCTTTGATTTCTGTTCTTGCTGAATATACGCTACGCGCTGACCATGGTGGAAGCTGCCTTTGGACTGGATGTCAGATGCAGTCTCCACAAGTATCAAATGGAAGAAAGAACGGCCTCAGACTCAGGAGAGACTTCTAGAAGAGGATCTGATTCAATTATTTTCTTGTATTCTGCCGCTATATCACTTCCAGTCTTACATGAAGGCAAGGAAAAGAAAACCAGCAAATATGGCCTTCAAAGTGGCACTGGGCAATGGTTTGGATCCAGTAAGGACCATACACTCAGTGTGCTGGCTTCCAGCTAAAGAAGCCTACTGCATCACCCTGAAAACAGAGACCCCGAACACACTGGCACCCTCTCCCACATGCTGCTATGTCACCACGGCAATTTGTGACAGAGCTGGGATGGATGGAGGCCTGACAACCATGTCTCAGCCCTGCCAACATGTCCTGCCCTGAAGCCTCATCAGGAAAAGCATTAATCACTGTTCCTCACACACCATCTTGCTGTTTCTGGTAGAGGAGGAGTGAAATATTTGGACAGCTGTGTGTGAATGAAGCGGAGAGACTCACTGCTGTCAGCTGCCATAGCTGGGTCTTCTCAGGAGGCCTCCCCATGGTTTGAAGGCACATGCAGCTTGGCTTTTTGCAGCCGAGTCTGCAATCTGGTGACACAATGTCTTAGTTGCATTTAATGGAAGGGAACAAAAAGCAGAGGAATGTAAGGAGCAAAGAAGAATACTGTGAATCAGATGAGGCTTCATGTCCCAGCTCTGTTCCTGCATTTCTACCCTGACCTGTAGGATTGTCCTCCCTTCCAGGATGTATTTCAAACAGCTCTGTCCTAATCCGGTTACATGATCTTGAAGTGTCTCTTTCAGCCCTGGCGTCCCCAACAGCCCTGCCACAGCCAGTCCACTCCAGCCCACAGCCTTTCTGCTGTGTCACCTGCAGAGTCCCCATCTCTTGTACCTCGGCTCTGTCCTCCGCTCCAGCCCGGTGTGGTCACACTCTTTTCTGACCTGTCACCACACGTCTCCTTAGAGTGTCACTCCCAGTGCTGTTGTAAAACTGACCTCCACATGAGCCATGCAGGGCACACAGTGACACTTACCCAAGCCGACCATTTCCTTAGGGATGTAGCAGGATTAACTGTCATTCTTCAGATGTAAAATAAACCTGTAAACACAACTTTCTTATGGAGCACCAGGCAGTGGGTCAAAAGGCACAGAGACCATGATACAGAAGATAGTGAAGTAATTTTCAGTTTGACATGTTATTAATAGAACTGGACACTGCAGTGACTGACAATGCAGGGAGAAGCACATCTAGAACAGCCCCAGAGCACTGCCTGGGCTCCATTCAGCCCCAGGGGAGGAAGATGGGCATGCAGCGGGTGACTCAGCCACCTGGGAATCACCTCTGGAGGAAGACGACTGTCAGGGAATTATCTGAAGCAGAGGACAGGCCATAGGCATGCTATGTGACTGTCTAGCTAAGTCCATATAACTCTCTGCTGCTCTGACAGAGATAGTTCTGCTCCTCCCAACCACTCATGACCCTGTGTACCTGCCATCTTTGCCTTTACCAAGGATCAGCCTCCTCTGATCCCATAGTGAGTCAGTTCCAACAGCTAAAAAGGCAGAAAACTTTTGGTACAAAAGGAATTATGGTTTGTCGATTTAGCTGCCTAAATTGGCTCATCACTCTGTTGTCAGAGCTAGCTGTTCAATTTGAATGCCTGTTTCTACACTGGGTATTAACATTTCCCCACATAATCAGGATGTCATGAGGTCATACATGTTGAGAGATGATGACATGCTCAATTCAGACCAGGAAGGAGCCACAGAAGAACGCTGGAAACCAGAAAGATGAATGATTTGGGGAACTGTTTCTAAACTCCATTATTTCTGCTGTATGGAAGATGCAGCCAGACTGTCACCTAGAGTGAGAAAGGTCAGTCTAGTGATATTTCTGGGCTGAAAAGAAGAAAATACCCAAAATCCAGCATGAAAGGCTATTCTAGGAAATCCAACTCTCAATGCAGACTCAATAGGTCAGTATGAAAGCTGAGCATGTAATTCATAAATAATAATTCCTATTGGATTTATCTTTTTTTCTCCCCCCGCTGCAGAAATGATCATTCTCATTTAGATAACCCAAAGCGAATCCAGCCTATTTGAGTGACAGACACGGGCTATGCTTTTAATGAAGCCAGAGCAGCAGTTTGCAGAAGGATCTCTGAATGGATCTTTTGTATTGCCAGGGTTTTACTGCACTTATGATTTTTCCTCTCCTACCTATGTGCGTTTTTCAAAGTGCTCCAGCCCTCCTGTAACCCAGGGAACTCCAGACAGGCACTGGGAGAAACCCTGTCAGATTTAGGAAGTGCCTTTCCTCCCTTAATATATTAAAAGCAGAAAGAAGAGCCTGAGGGAATGGATGTTTTAGGGGAAAGGTGAATGGATATGGAGCTTCTTACGTGATGACTGGGATCTATTCTCATCAGGCTAGGGCAGAAAGCCTTTATTCTTTGCTGCACCTCTGAAAAACAGGAATAAATGAGTGTGTTTGCTTCTGCTGTTAGGCCCCGCTGCCTCCTCTCATTGCCCTAATAACTCACACATTTGCTGGCAGCTGAGAAATGGCAGCTCTGTGCACAGAGTGTGTACATCTTGGTTCACAGGTCTTCCATCACTGCTGGGTCACCACACATCATGTAACCCACCCATAGGCGTAGGACCCAGTGTTGAAGCACAAAGAAGGGGAGAGTCCTGCATCGTTATTAACACCGGGGTGCACCCGCCCTTGTAGCGCACGGATGTTGCCAGCGCAGAACTCAGAGAGGCCAGGAGCTCGGTGGCCATTTGGGATTGCCCTCTAATACCCAGCACTGACTAGAGGGAAGGATCACAAAAACTTTCAGAATCACCTACTTTGGACCTTGAGATCTAGACTGTGTCATTAGAGTCACTGGATAGAAACACACACCCAGATGGTAACACATCTGGTTTATGGCACTTGTTTACCTCAAAAGGAGATGCACTGCATCTCAGGAATTCCTGTTTCTCTCTGCTGCCCATACAGTAAGCCTAGATAATGAACTCCAACTGTAAGGTGAGACAAATCCAACTTCAAATGTCAGTCTCGGGAGTTACCGGCTCACGCCCACTCCTTGGAATACATTTGCATTCACATGCAAGAGAAAAACAAGAAACAACCCAGTGTGCAGCACACAGGAATAACTGTGAAGGGGTGTGAACGAACACCCTTCACTGAGAAGAAGCTCCTACTTTAAATAGGTGCCTGTGTTGCAGGAAATACTAACTCCAGTAGTGTGCTGGAGAGCGTCTAACCCAGTGCTTCAGTGCCCTAATGCAGTCTATAGCTCGCCAGGGAGAGGTGGGGAAGGAACATTCTAGAAGAGCTGGTCAGAGGAACGTGAGTGGTAATTGAAACTTCTCTGGTTTTCATCATTAACACTCAGGGATTTCTTGTCCTGTTGTAACACAAGCCAGACTGGCTCCCAGAGCATCACACCTCCTTCTGCCCCTGAACTGCTTGTGCTTTCCAGCTTTCTGCTGCCTGTGATTTGGAAAAAGGGAGTGAGGAGAAGAACAAAGCATGGACTCACACTCAAAAGCACCTCTTTCCAAGGGTATTCTCTGATGGAGCTAATATCCCTGCTTCATGATTGTCCAAAACAAGCTGTGGCTTCAGAATTCCTATTACAAAGTTGGCTCTGTCCTTCTAGCTAAAGGACACCTTGCAACGCTTTCTGAAAGGACAGCTTGGGCAAGTGGGAGGACCAAAACTTTCCTCCACAAAGTCATCTCCTGGTTATAGAAGAGCTCCATCTTGGAAATCCCACTTATACAGAGCAAGCTATCAGGATCCTATCAGTATGAATCTGAAATCTTGTCAGCCCCATAGAACTCTGGACAGTACTCCTCAATTGGCTCTGTACTGCAGCAGGATTCCTCTAACTTGATCACTTGAGCTGGAAGAAATCAAGGACACCCTGGAGAAGTGGGGGCCTGGCTCTGGCAGTGAAACAAGGGCTTTGACTGAAATCAAAGCTGTATGTTTAATTAGGCGTGTTGTTTCATGTTGGCACACAGCTCAGTATGGCTATCCAAACCAACAGGCCACCAGAATTTCTCAGATGTTGTATTAGTGCATCTGTCTGTCTAGGCTGGACTGCTCCAAGACTAGAGAGCCCACCGAGAGGAGCTAAACACCCTGCCAGAGCAAGCTACCAGCATCCCCACTCGCTCAGCTGAGTGCTGGCTTTGCACAGAACTGACTTCCATCCATAGGGTTTATGAACAGATTCTGCACCACAGGAAAGCAGCAAAACTGCTTGTGAAACTGCTTGTTGTCCTTCACCGCCTCTACAAGCAACATAGCGATATTCCTGTCGCACTGCATCCAAACTAAGAAAGCTTGCTGGTCCGGAGCCAGTGCTGGTGTCTGGATCCACACTATGGTTAATATACAACAGTGATAAATCCCCTGGGGATAATCAAGTAGCTGTGATGCTGCTCCAGCTTAATAGAAAGCAAAGAATTGACTCTTAATTTATGGCTTAAAAAACCCAAAGACCTTAAAAGGAAATAAAAATCTCAAAAGATAATCAAAACAGTATCAT